CCTAATCGTGTGACGTAATATTTTAATGCCCCCTAATGGCTCTTTTATTTATAGAGGAGAGTGGGGCAAAATGAAACAGTCGAAAAACGACTATTTGACGCAATTCAAGCAAAAAAAAAATTGCAGGCGGCGGTATCTTCGATACAGCTGTGATTGTACGTGGATATGTCCATGGTCTTTTCTTCTTTCTCGAATTTCCTAGAAACTCTTTGGTTTCTCTCGAATTTTCTGGAAACTCCTTGAATTCCCTCTATTTTTGCTTCCGAATGGAAGCATTGCAATCGTTTAATTTTCATATTTTCTAATTTTGCTTGGAAATGATGCAGAATGGTCTGAAACGTAAAAATACGAAGTTTGGGGACCAAGTCTGTGCGTGACACTGTCCAATCGGTGGTCATATTTTCGTAAATTTGATATTTAAACGGGAAAAATCATTCCAAAAAATTAAAAAAAATTTCAGTCAATTGGTATAACTTGAGACTAACAACATGTCAAACTTCAGCTTGATCCGTCCATTAGTTTTTAAGCAATAGCCATTCGTTGTTTAACCTTTTCTCGAAAATATCTCGGAAAATACCTAACCGATTTCAATAATTGTTTTTCAAAATATTCGGCATGATATTCTCTATCTAAATCAATCAAAACATATATACCCGTTCATAAAAAGGGCGCGATCCATCGAGTGGTTTCGGAGATATTCACCTTTTTGTGATAAACGATTCCATCAAAAATCTTAATATTTTCGCGTATTATATTTGTTAAAACACTTTGAAATTTCCCTGAAAAAGCATAGTTTTTCAATCATTAGGCAGTATTTTTGTGTGGCATTGTGTATATTCAATCTGAGCGGGATTAATGTTTTCGTTTGTGGAAGTATCGTAAGGTTTCTCCTTGTTTTACCTCGAAATCGTTGTTCGGTCTCTAGCAGACGCAAAAATCGAAATATCAAGTTGAAATCAAATTTTATTACGCTAAAAACCATTCGGAAGCCCACCATCAATTTATTGATGGCAAAGAAAGTATTTAAAAAAATGAATGAGTGAGATGTTCACTGCCACATGCTCACTGCCCCCTGCTCGTTTTAGAAACTCCCAGAATTTCCTCGAAATTTCTAGAAACTCCTTGAATTTTTTCGAAATTTCAAGAAACTTCTCGAATTACCTCGAAATGCCTAGAATTTTCTAGAATTCCGATAGATGGCGTTGCACATAAGGACCGTTTCCCAAAATGACCCCCCATATTGAAACCCTAGACGTATCCACGTCAAAATGTTTTTATTCAAGTTTTTTTGTCGACTTTTTTTATCAACTTTTTCTATTCTCGGGAGTACTGATGAGAATAATAATTTTTCATTCAGTAGAATGAAAAATTATTGAGAAGTTTTGACGGGAGAAGATTTTGTCAATGGATTAATTGAAAAGAAAATGAAACATGCAAAATCCAGAGCAAAGCCCAAGGGAGACCCAGAGGGGGAAAAGGGAAAATGTGATGCTGAATTTCAATCGAATGAAAGAAGAAAAGTGTAATCAGCCTAATCTAATCAATTGAATTATAAAACGAACAGAAAATTATTATTCCCATCAGTACTCCCAATAATAAACAAAATCAATAAACAAAAGTTGATAAAAAAAAATTTCTGCTTGAATTGCGTCAAATACTCGTTTTTTAGATGTTTCATTTTGCCCCACTCTCCCCTAAAAAACTTCCCACAAAAATCCTGGCTCTCCCCGCGTTCCAAAGATCTATCGAAACCTGAGTGGCGAACGAAATTGACTTGAGCCAATTGATCCGATAGCTACTGTATAGTTTTACTCCAATAAAAACTTCAGCGTCTGTACGGTATAGTGAGTAGTGATGCAGTAATTGAGCTTAAGGGAGTCACCCCTCAAGCCAGCGACCAAGTCGCCTCAGATAGTTCCCCCCAATCTCCGCACCCCTCAAAGATAAAACCCCAAAGCCCTTACAATTTGGCTCTACAACTAGGATCCAAATTCCCCGCGGCAAAGACATTATGTGGATCCAAATAGCTCTTAGTAGCTCTGTAGAGGCCGAGCCCCGCATCCCCCACAGCATCCGGATAAAACCTAGCCCTCATCTTGCCCACCCCATGATGATGAGATATCGAGCCCCCACTCGCCAATATCTCAGCCCTCGCATTCTCCTCAATGTGCTCATAAGTCTCGACCGGATCGTTCTGCCCGAGATAGGTAAAGGCCAAATAAAAGTAGATGCAGCATCCAGCGTCGTAAGTCTGGGTTAACCGACAGGAAATTAAATAATGACTAATTCCCATTTCTTTGCAATCCCTTGCCACTCGTGATTTGACATTTCTGCAGAGTGAGGAGGCACGTGACCAGGGAACTGAGGTCTCAAAAGACTCTGAGAGAACGCCAAACTCGAGTCCGAGATCCCTGATGTAGGCGATGACGAAGGTCAGGATGTAGCCACGCTCTCCATTGGTATCACCAGCTGCCAAGCCACCGAATTCCTTAGCTATTGCGTAAATCTTTTTCTCTTGGTTTGCAACTTCGGTTGATTCGTAGCCCTCGAATAATAAAGTTGCCACACACACGCTGTCCCATTTGAAGCCCTTGATCTTGGTGACATACGCCTGTTTCAATGTCTGCATTATCTTGTCGGCGAAGCCGTGCTGGGGTCTGAGGGCCTGGCCAAACCGAAACTGTTCGTTGTCCATCAGTCGAATGCTGGCAGGTTGGCAACGCTGTTTCGCTACTTCTCTCATGGCTTCGACTCCACTCTGAAAGTCCGGGAAGATCACAGAGCCGTATTTTACGATCTTGGGGAGGGGGCGGATCTTGAGGACAACCTCGGTGATCACCCCGAGGGTGCCCTCGGAACCCAGGATCATGTGGTCGAAGTCGGGACCGCTTGAGATTCTGGGGACCTGGGCACTGTGTTCGAGGGTCAGGGAGGAGTCCTCGGTGCGACCGGTCACCATTCGCACTCGAATGAGGAGGTCCTCTATGTTGCCGTAGGTGTTCTTCTTCATTCCGCTGGCGCGAGTCGCTACCCAGCCGCCGAGGCTGAAACGAATACGGAATTTTTCATTTTTTTTTTTGGTCGCGTAGACCCCTAGTACACTGAGAAAAAATAGTATATTTCGTAACGAGTGCAAAAAAGTGTTTTATATGATACGTGCGTGTAACCGCATGGGTTTCGGTTGACTATAGTCAACTGAAACCCGAAATAACGCATGACGCGCATGCGCATCACCTATTAAAAGAGAATAACAAGGAAGGAAATGTAACCTCCGAATAGTGAATACATGGAATGACTGAAAAATGAAAAGGTGATTTTCGAAGCAGATAAAATGAGCCAAAATCGTATAATTCCTGATAGTGATGAAGAGTTAGGCAGTGAGGAGAATTTATTTACTGATGAGGAGGAGTTTATTGGTGATGAGACATTTGAAGAAAATGGAAATAAAATATTCTCCGATTTTTCAATTACGTTTTGTATCATATTTTTTTATAATTATAACTTTCTTTTTTTTTGCGAATTCTTAATGATTTTAAAAAATTGTATTTTGTAATTATTATAATTAATTTTTTTCAATTAAAAATAATTTACAAGTTTTTTGAACTACATATTTAATGAATATAATTAATTTTTTCTTCAGAAGTTACGCATAATTTTTAAATCACACTTTTTTATAATTATTTTTTTAAATAAATGTGATCTTTTTTCTTCAGTGGGGGGGCTTCGCCCCCCACACCCCCCACTCTCCCCCCTCCGCCACCCGACTTCATCACGCACTTATATAAAATAGTATACGCAACACGTGCGGACAGCAGGCGGTATCACTAGTAACCGCCTGCTTTCCGCACTAGTTGCGTAATGTACTATTTTGGCGAGTGGGAGGTTTATATCACGAGCCGAAGGCGAGTGATATAATCCCACGAGCTAAAAAAAATTTTTTCACGAGTTACGAACAATATTTTTCATCACAATGTGGCGGAAATTGGACTTTTAGGCACGCGGAGCGTGCCGAAAAGTTCACTTTTCGTCACAGCGTGATGAAAAAATTATTTTTTTGCCAAATATCCATTCACTTGAGAGAAGCATTGATTTTTTCAATACCGTATTTCTCCAGTCGAGTCATTCCCAGACAATACTCATTAGCTTTATCATGTCAGTTATGACCTTGAGGGTCAGTTATGACTCCCTCAATAAATATCAACATTGAAAAATTGATGGAAATTCTTCCCTCTAGAAAATAGTAAATTTAAGAAATATGAATAATTATTAGAGGAGTTCATTCAAGGTCATATGCAGCATAGTCAGCCTCTAGAGCAACATGATTGTTATAATTGAAACTTAATTGAAACTATAATTGAAACTATAATTGAAAAGAATTCAGTAGCGAAGCGGTAAAACGGTTTAAGTTGACTTTTCCCAGTTGAGTTTTTGAGGAATATTTCCGAATCTAAAGGAGATAGCGAAATTTTCGTGATTACATTTATTGTAGCACTCAATCGGCTCTACAAAAAAGGTTATAACAAAAATGTTGCTATCTTCCTTAGATTCCGAGAGATTCATTGAAAACTGGTCAGTAGCCAAAATTGACTTGTATCGGTTTATCAGTTCACTACTGATTAGTTTGGTTCGAATTTGAAAGTCTCAAATAACTACTCTGCTTTTAACAACAACGAAATATTTAGCTCAAGAGGCAGATAATTGATACGTGACGGTACCTTTTCAGGATGAAAATATCTCATATAAAGCTAAATTTATCAAGAATTATTTTGTCCCTAAGTTGGAAGATTTCTGTCATATCATTATTAATATTTCATTTAAGGGTTCATTTCTTGTCTGTGATTATTAGATAGCCGAAATGAAAAACTACTATCCCTTGTTTCGCACAAGACAAACATTTTTCGGAAGCAAAATACGCATGGGAGTATCGAATAACGAAGGAACAGTGTTAGAAATTACAATTTCTGGCGTGTACGGAGAATGCAATTTTTTTTCAACTACTAAATCTATTTTTGTGACAAAAATTTTTCATCTCGGCGCACTCTCTGCATGTTTCACACGAAAAAAAATCCTTTTTTCATAATTTTCGAAAAACTATTTTATTGGCACAAGTAAGACTTGTTTAAAAACTTTGTCGTTTTTCTCTCCATGTAGTCAAGGATTCACGGATGCGTAACATCTACGAAGCGCTGCCTTACGGCCGTAATAACAAAAAAACTTCAAGTCCTATGTAGGTAATCTCATGCTAACACCGACATTCGGTGCATATTATCTATTTTATTTCTCGAGTCAAATTCTTATCAATATAAAGGAGATAACTAATAACTCCGTCCATCAGTTGGAAAAAATGAATATGTCGAGTGTTTGCTATTTTCGACAAATATTCTCAATTATTTATTCATCTCGACAACAAGTCATAAAATTGAATGAAAAATAATAATTTAATTCTTTCGACATATCATCTTTAAGAGGAGACTACTATGAGTTATAAAAGTCGCAGGCGATTGGAACGAGATTTCTCATACATTGAAGATCGATTATATATGTGTAAAAATTAATAATTAGTGCAAAAAAAATTGTCTATTGTTCCTTTACCCCACACATGCTTGAAATGTTAAAAATAGTCCAGGGCCTCCAATTTGTTAGCTACAGAGGTTTCTTTTTCAAAATTTTTGAAAAAATGTGTGCAATAATAATTACGAATTAGCTTTTTGAAATTCGACTCCTACACAGCCAATTTCGTTTTGCTCGAGATAAACATTTGCGCGATTAATGTAAAATAGATAGAAAAATGATCTTTAAAATATTCAAAATATATTCTCGATTCTTTCAGAAACATTTTTCGGGCGGACGGACAACAAACAATGTTTTTTGCATTAATTGTATTTTTGGATATAGATAATCGATCTTCAATGTATGAGAAATCGCATTCCAATAGCCCGCGACTTTAAAAATTCATAGTAGTCTCCCCTTAAAATACTCAACACCAAGGCAATCAAATATTCATAAAAATGTGAAAAATCGAGTCACATCTTCAGGAAAATCCTGAACCAATCTTCACCTGGAAAATTCGTATGAATCAGGTTCATGTCCCGTGGTGAATCCCCTCAGCCTCAACTCCCTCTCAAGATCCTGTCCAATAATCCCAGACTCGCAGCAAGCAACGAGATTATCCCGATCAATCCACAGTATTCTATTCATCTGTGAAGTATCTAGTGAAACAATCGTTCTTCTCTCATTCGTAGGACAACTAGTAGCCCTGCTAACACTAGTCCCTCCCCCGATGGGTATGCAAGCAGCTCCATACTTCACACACATCCTGATGATCTTTTCCACATCGTCATGGCACTCTGGAACAAAAAATATGTAAATCCCTGAACTGTCACGATCCCTTGATACATTTAAGTTTTTTCCTCAATATCTCAGCCATAAGACGTCGAGTTTTTTTCCTCGTCATGTCTTTACATTAATGGATAAACGGAAGAATGACGATCCTTTATAAGTGACTCTTAAAAGTATATTCAAATTAATTACTGTGAGGTCAACACGATGGATGTACCTGATGACGTAATTCTACGTTCCCTCGACCCGTCTGATAAAGTTGACGTTTGTATTGGAATTACTCACCGGGTAATTAACATCATATCTTATCACTGAAGAGGCTTAGAACGTAGGCATGCGAGCCTTGGGGAATGTTCTGCGGAAATGTTCTGTATTTTTTATTTGGAAAAATTCCAAATTGAAAATTCAAGGAGTGGTAGAGCGTTAGGTGTAAATTCTATTTGTATTTTTGAGGATAATTTAGGAGAAAATGTGAAAAGAGCTCTTTCGTAGAGAATTTAATTTTCCATAGGAAATGTCTTTCGATATTTTGTCCGAAAATCATTCGTTACGAAGATAATGCAATTTTGAATGAGTCTAATCACCCCAATTTGTGTTTTCATTTCCAGAACGAGTGATTGTAAGAGAAATTAATGGAAAAAGTTTTTTCTGCATAATGGATTATCAACAAAAAATATCTTTTTATCTTCTGGAAAGGCTCATCTAGATGAGAAAAAGTCATTTTTCGTTACTTTTTATAATTCGACATGTTTGCAATCTCAATTGCTCTCTATAACTAGTTCTCAATTTTAGAAGATGCCGATCACCCCATTTTATATAAAAAATTAAGTTTGAAAAAAAAATTTCAATATTTTATCCTGAAACCGCTACTTAAGGATATCCATGTATCTTTTACAGTTTGGTGTAGACTCCAACTATAGATTCAACCACTTTCAATCATCAAATTTGTCAATTAAATTGCGTGAGAAAAATTTGAAAAAATTCATAAATATTCAGTGTTATGAATACATTCATGAATTGAATATTCGTAAATATTTAAATTACATTTTGCATGGAATTATTATTCTTTTAAATATTCGTTGTTTATAAATAAATAACTAAAACGGTTTAAACTTTCGGAAACATTATTTTTTTACGCATGAAATCGATTTCTAGTGAAATTCTGAAAATGAATGAATTTGTAAATTATTGTTATAAATTATTTCTACAAAATGCTCGTGATTTTAAAAAATTGCACTTTTCAACTTATTTCATCGATCTTCTTCCAAAAGTGAACTTTCTTATTTTTTTCAGATTTTAAAAATGTATTCTAACTGTTCAATATTGAGATTCAAATTCAGACTTGCAAAGTTTAAATAATAAAATCATTGTAAAATGTTCCGAAACGTAGGGTCAAATGGGGCTCAAATGAAAGCTCTGATGATCGACTACAAAAGTAGAAGAGCATTTCATTGGAGAAAAAATAGCCAAAGTACTTGAATATCCTTACGAGATAATCCAATATTCGATAAGATGATGAGTCCAATCCTAGCTCAATAACTCAAATCCAACTTCTTTTATATTTGTTCATTTATCTCTAGAACCAAAGATTTGCGGAGAAAATTTGAAAACATCTTTTTTACGGATGAATGAATTTCCAACAAAAAAACGCCTCTAAATGCTGACCACTCATTCTCGAGATGACTCAATATATCTAACGAGTTGTGAAGGAGAAATTTTTTGTTACATTTTACAATTCGGCTGTTTCGTCAATTTTCGTCAATACATGTTATATGTTTTTTACAAAAAATGTCGCTTTGATATTTTATCCTAAAACCAGATGCTTCATTCGGCAAGATAACACATCCTATAACGTCCCGAATCAACTCTGACAATTTTATTAATTATCAATTACCTAGAAAAAATTCCTAATCTTCAGGGAAAAGCAGAGAGAGTCTTCTCGAAGCGTCATCCTATTTCCTATAAAATTCATTAAAATGAAAACCCACATACTTGGCCAAAGAACAATATCAGGTAATCGTTCGATGTGCCCTCGTTTCAGTTGATACATTTCCCTCAACGTGTGTCCATGGGCCCTGAAGAGCCTGTCCATTCCATCAGTAGAATACGTAATTTTGAACTCTTCAATGGCATCGAGAAACTCCTGAGAGATAATGGGCTCTGGAAAGGTGGCTGGCAGTGGTTGTGGTGGTTTTCTATCCTCCAAATCAACTCCAAAAACATCTTTCACCCATTGGGTAAAGTATGGAAGTTGCAGATTACCAATGGGATACCTTGAGTAATAAATTAAATTTATTTTTCATGCAAATATGTTATTGTAGGAACGTAAAAAAGAAGTTGTCCATGGTGAATATGTTATTTGTAGAACGATGCATTGAAAAGCAAATGGTTTTTTGTCGTGTGAGTTTACTCATTACGTAAAAAAATTCATTGGGTAAATAGGTGGGGCCGAAAAGTGGTCCTCGAGACGTTCTTCGTGAATTCATGTCAATTTGTTTTGTTCATTTGTAGGTGTGCGGATGCTAATGTCAAAGGGAAACTATTTATTCAGGTATTACAACATCGGGATGTTTTGTGTCAAGTGTTTTATTTTTCTCTGCAGGAATGTTTACGTTGCAGGGAGGCAGGAACAAACAGAGCGAAATACTTGAGTGCTAATCATCTGACGGATTTTTTTTAAACTCTTTTTATGCATGTGGGGAGATTCCGTGACAGAAGGACGAATTGAAGATTGAGATGACTTCTTATTATGCGGTTCTAATGGGGGAGGATGAGTCTGGTGGAAATGATTAAAGGGTTTGGACGTTATCATTAGAGGATTCAGAAGGGAAGGAGTAAATAATAGCGACATGCTGAATTTGACGTTTTATGAGTTGTGGATTTATCTTGCGAACGAGTCATTTTAAGAGGGAGTGTCCAGGGACATTTTTGTGCGGAAAAAATATGTTCCCTTAAAGTCCCATTAGTTTTGTATTTAAACAATGATATTGCAAAAAGTGTATAATTATCGAGATAAATTCATAATTGAGAGGGAAAATTTCTAGTCAAATGTAGAGCACTTTAATTATGCAATTATCTTGGAAATAAGGGGTTTTAGGAGGAAACGTCAAAAAACCTTTCTTGTAAATCATAAAATTTATATCCAAAAATGTGTTGCAAGATTTCGTTTCAGAATTTTAGAATAATGCAATATTTGATTCGTAATGAATCGAATTAGTCTACTTCATTAATTGAGTTTCTCCTCGTAAACAAACGATTTCAGAAATGTTGGAAAATATTGTTCCTAGAACGTTGAAATTTTCAACAAAAAGAATATTTTGACTTTTCCCATTTAAATTTAAATTAATGAGATAATGTCATAATTCACTGAAGAGGAAAATTTCTAAGTCAAGTTCAATAGCGACTTTTTAAATGAGGGGACAGTGAGGCAAAACAGAAATTTGCATTTTTTTCTGTGTCCACAACTCGGAGACAAACTGATCAATTAAACTCAGACGAGACTCATTACGACGTGAAGAAGAAGCGCGTTTCTCATGGAAAAAACATACTCCCATTTTATTAACTTTTCGCTGTTGCGCTATGAACGCCGTGCCGCACGTGGAACCAAAATCAGGATAAAAATAAATCTAATATCCGAAAAATTTTGAAACCCCAAGAATTGTCTCTTCAATCTATTTGCTGTTCCTTAGTACATTCTCTTTGCGCCACAATGGATGAAACATTAGAAAAGTGAGTTTTTCTGAGAGCTGAGCTTGAAATACGGTGCGGCGCTCAGTACGCAAGCACAAATGTCAGTGGAATTTTCACTGGCAGTCAGTCCGTAACAGGGGATGAAACTCCGACTGCCTCCTCCACTTATATTTGGTTGCAGAGGTTTAGATACCAATTATTTCGTTATGACCCTTACGAGGTGTGACCCTCGAGACGTATGATCCTGGCGAGGTATGAACCTCGTGACTTTTATCACCCCGCGAGGTATAATCTTCGCGAAGCTTTACGGTTTACGATAAAAGGTAACTTTGGCTGGTTTTTTACATTTATTACGTGAATTACGGGTTTTTCACAATGTCATATAAAAAGCTGCGGTTATCGACAGATGCATAACCCTGGTCATTGGTTGTGATTGATTACAGAGTCAAGTTAGTGGGAAATTCAAAATAAAGTATGAAATGTATTATTGGTAATGTAAAAAGGGTTCGAATAAAAATGAAAAAGAAATATCCACAAATTTTAACTCATAAAACATCATAAAAAGTTGAACGTGAACGAGTGTTTTGACGTACGAAGACCCAATCAAAAAGATTCTTGCGGCTGGCGGCAATGCTTTATCACCCAAACCGCGTACAGCGCGACGATAACCGCGCGACCACAGACGTCAGGTGAGCTAGCGCGACCAACGGAAAGATTAACAATTCAATGACGCATCAACATTTCAAAAAAAGTTAGAACTATCCACTGCTCCTCTTTTGCCTCTATGCCATTTCTCTATGCAATCGAAATCAATTGACTTCAGGAAAAAATGTTAGGAAATACTCTTGGCAGAGGATTGAATTCCATGAGAAAAAATTATCTTTTGGAATTTTCTCGCGAATAGTGGCTGAAACGACTCCTCACTCAATTGGAGAGCGAAAATGTAAGGAATCCTCTTTTGAAAAAATTCTATTCTCTACAACAAAATAGTACAAAACCAAAAATTCCATATTTAATTCAATATTAATATCTACGATTCCGGATTCAGTTACAAATTAGTTTTTCCACAATACCTCAGGATCATCGATCAACCGTCATCACTTGTCCATGAATTTTATATTTTCTTATCTATTTCAATTAATCATTATAATCAACTGAATACTGTTTTATTTCTGGTCCGAAATAGTATATTTTGATACAAGTGAGACGGAATTTTCGACAAAAAATTTCTTTTTCCATTTGCTTTCAGAATCACCAAGACAACTCGATCTTTATCAAGTCGTAAAGAATCGCTCCTGAATTCACTACCAAATCAATTTTCCCTTTTCCAATTTTTTCGACGTTTATGAAAATATTAAAATAATCCCTCTCACCTGGATCCAGTGAACTCGATGATCATCTTCTCATTAACCTGAAACTGCGAGTCTTTGTAGCCCCAGCCATTCCACTTGAGCAAATCTTGTCTGAAACAAAGAGAACCATCTCCTTAAACAAACTATCCATCTTGCACAAATCAATTTTTTTTAACTGTGGGGGATCATATGAAATCAACTTCTCTGATAATTGAACATCAATTGTAACCGATTTAATAATGAGAAATGAATTTTTTTTATACGCAAGATCTTATGGAATTTATTTTGCAATTGATAATTCACTTACTGGGAGACTCCAGAAGTAGAAATCAAAGTAGAGGGCAAGGGGAGAAAATATTAGGACGGATGGGGCCAAATGCAAACTTTATTTTCATTCATCGAATATTCTAACTTTTGACAAAATAAGACAATGTTTTATTTCATGGAAATTTAGAGAGTTTTGGGTTCCAAGGCTCAGCCCAGGGGCTGAATTCCGAAGTAACACGGTAACACGATGAATATTTGTTGCGCTCTCTCTAGATGTAAAATGACCGTCAAGATTTTCTCTGGTCATTTTTGCGACACGAAATTCGGTCACTTTTTTTCTGACCAAAAATGTCCAGTCATTGGCCTTCGGTCAGTGACGTGTAATTTACGTGTAAAATGACGGTTAATTGACCGGTCAGCTTTGTCTATAGTACTGGTGATGCAAACTGACCGTAATTTTTATGCTCAATCATTTTTTTTTTCATTTTCTTCATGAATTTTTTAGAAATTTGAATAAAATTATAAATAACGCCGAAACGCAAATCGAAAATTTAGTGATCATTACCTTAATATGGAAAGTAGAACTTTTCGTAGCACTTTTTTTATTTATTATTATTATAGAATCTATAAAACTCTCCAGCAAACAGTATATCGACAATTCGTCGACAAATTGCCGATGTCCTGTTGAATTTTATATGGCACTGGCAAAAATTGTTTTCTGGGTCAATTATAGAAAAATAGTCGTATAAAATTTTTCATTGGATAAATGACGTCGTAAATCTTCTCATTTGAGAACTGATTAAAGAATTCTATCAAACATACGGTGCCTAAATCAGGCTCTCTTACTAAAATTTAGAGAGTTTTGGGTTCCAAGGCTCAGCCCAGGGGCTGAATTCCGAAGTAACACGGTAACACGATGAACAACATTTGTTGCGCTCTCTCTAGATGTAAAATGACCGTCAAGATTTTCTCTGGTCATTTTTGCGACACGAAATTCGGTCCCTTTTTTTCTGACCAAAAATGTCCAGTCATTGGCCTTCGGTCAGTGACGTGTAATTTACGTGTAAAATGACGGTTAATTGACCGATCAGATTTGTCTATATTACTGGTTATTGGTTTGAAATTTCGTCGAATGAATTAATGCATTTTTATTTACTAGTGAACAGAAAGAAAACATTTTTTGATATTTTTCAATCAAATGTGATTGGCACTTAAATCATCCTCAATAATGAATTTTACCACTCAACTCCACCGAATTACACGTGACATAATCCTCCAATCAATTCCCACCTCCTAGCCGGTCCATCCCAGCGGCAAAAATTCGAAACCCAAGTCTAAACAACCCAGCAAACATTCTCTACCCGATCCTCCGCACAATTGATCCACTTTGATATCCAACCCCAGCGGCAGGGGTAGTTGAATATCTAAACCGTCTCACCATCATGAAGCATTTTCGTTCTGTTCACCGATCGATTCGTTAAACTAAGGGAGAAAATGTCTGTGACTCACGACTGAGTGAATGGACGAAGAATAAACTTCAATGAAGGAAAAAACATCATGTGCATGGCTAAACAATTATTCATCCCTCCTTAATCAGCCAAAAAAATTAATAACATCGGATTTTTAACTCTGATTCACTGACCTGGTTCTCGGTATAACGCTCTCGACACTCGTGGGTCCACTAATTCCCCTCGCAACACCATCCACTGGTTCGGAGGCTGCGGTCTTCCTCGACATTTTTTTATCACAATTCTACAATGATTCCCCGACTCACCGAATCAACTTTAGCATAACCTTTTAATCCACCCCTGTCACTCAATTTCTCACCGTCAAAAAAACAGTCAACGTCGATGTACCTTCGACGACGGTATCACACGCACTACCGTCTCGACTATTTTTCCCCCTCGTGCACACGAGTAATTCCTCGTTGTCGTGCACCACGACACCGGTTAAACCAAATTTAAATCGATACAGCCCCCGCCCGTTGTGTACGCTCCGCCCAGTCTGTGAGTGTGTTGGCTCCCTTTACTCCTCCTTTGAGTTACCATGTGACACATGTGCACAGACACTTTCGATTTATCGAGGGGAATTCTTGCGGGGTATAGTAATCCCTGACTGTCGGCAGAATGAGAACGAAAGTGTGAGAATTGCGGAGAGTGGGAAATTGTCGGCGCGGGCTCGAGGCATCGGGGATAGGCTCATTTGAATTGGGTAATCAACTTTCCAAGTAAAAATTACTTGTTGAAATTAGAGGATGACATGCACTCGGAATTCCTATGACGTTCATCATATTCTTCAAATTATTAATGATCTTATTTTAAATTTTGTCGAAATATTGTTTTCAAGTTATTAATAATCAAAGCGGCTGCTTATAAATGGTTTTTTATTTTGATTTTTCTAGTTGTAGAATTGGAACTAAGCTGTTAAAAAAATTGTCCCGAAAAGAAATTGAATTTTTTAACGATGATTCACTCTCATGAAATTTCCATGTTTTGTTACTGAAAAATTAGATCCTTTTCTGGAGTAGTCAATTAAATTGACTAAAAAAAATTTCAGGGCCACATAAAAACGAAAATTGTTGGAATTTTGAGTAATTCTGCACAACTATTTTTCAGAACTCATTGAAGCCGTAGAAAATTCAACTGAATGTGATTTTTAATTTCTACAATCAATTACAATATTCCAACTATCATTGAGATATTAATGATCACCTATTTCTACAACGATTTAATCTCAAGGGCGATTCAGCAAGGTAAAGGAAATTGAAAAAAATGCAGTCAATTTTATTAAAAAATTGAAATATATTAATGAATAAATCATTAAGGAATCATGCACAAAGTTTCAGATATCCTAGAAGCAAGACAACAGCCAAACATAAATTCTAACGCATTACCTCAATTCGCATAATCTCTAGATTATCGACCAGTCGGCAATGTGGGAAAAATGCTAAACTTATATGATATGCCTATAGAGATGCAAAATTACAGTCATTTTTTAAATCGCGTCATATGACCAAAATGATGGCCATGTGATGCACAATAGTATATTTCGTAACGAGTGCAAAAAAGTGTTTTTTGGCGAGTGGAAGGTTTATATCACGAGCCGAAGGCGAGTGATATAATCCCACGAGCTAAAAAACATTTTTTCACGAGTTACGAACAATATTTTTCATCACAATGTGGCGGAAATTGGACTTTTAGGCACGCGGAGCGTGCCGAAAAGTTCACTTTTCGTCACAGCGTGATGAAATAGTACATTAGAGTACAAGGGCACAACTTTCGTTTTCAACGAATGTGTAGTTTACAGGCCGAGCCGAAGGCGAGGTTTTTGTTGTGAAAATGAAGAAATCGAATTTATTTAACTCCATATACTCATAGATGTTTTATAAATATTGATAATGACTTAAAAAGAGTTAAGACAATGCAGAGAATATGAAGAGTGCAGCATTAATAAATAATTTTTAATGTTTGACTAATTCTTTTTTTTTTACTTTTTAAAATAATCTGATTAAAATCTGTAATTGTTGAAATATCAGGGGAGGGTTATGAATTGATTTCCTAGAAAACTGAAAAAATTTATTGAATTCTTCGGGAAATTTCACAGTTTTCCACATAACCGTAAATCACAGATTTTTCTCGAATTATTTGGGAAACCGAAGAATTTTCGTGAATTTTGTAGAGTTTAGAATTTATGTATGAAAATCTGAGAAGCAAGAATTGATCAGTTTGGCGTGTGATAAATATGAAAAAATTAAAATTTGGGAAGTGAAGAATAATTTGTGAGTTGAAAAAATTTAGAAATACTATGTTTTTTTTTCTCATGATCAACAATTAGGCAATTTAGATATGTTTTGATATAAAGATCAACGTCACACATGAAAAAATGAAAAATATGACGCAGAAAAAATTTGTGGCATTTGACGAATTTGAAAATACCGGGGATTTTTTTCAACGCCCGCTTCACGTGACTCATTGACCAACCAGAATTGAGGATTAGCGGTCAGGCAGTTTCGAGATATTTCGATATAAAACAACTTCACGTTTCTTTCATCTTTAGGAAATAGGACAAGATCTATGCGCGTGCTCTCGCGCGCGCTGATCTATTCATTTGTCGAAATGAAGAAATGGAATTCATTGAATTTCATTTTCTCATGAATACCTTATAAATATTGATAATGAATGAAAGAGAATTCGACTAATGATTGAAGTGAATAGCGAAGTAGAGTAAAAGAATCTATAAAGAATTTTTCATCACGCTGTGACGAAAAGTGAACTTTTCGGCACGCTCCGCGTGCCTAAAAATCCAATTTCCGCCACATTGTGATGAAAAATATTGTTCGTAACTCGTGAAAAAATGTTTTTTAGCTCGTGGGATTATCCCACTCGCCCAAAAAACACTTTTTTGCACTCGTTACGAAATATACTATTTCATTTTCAGTTAATCATCTTCAATTTTTTTAAATAATCGGTCTCCATAAAAGAACAGAATTTATTAATTTCACCGATAATATATATACATGTGAAATATATATATTATATATGACGTGAAAAAAAATTTACCTCTGAAGAATTTGAAATTATGTCACTGAAGAATTTGAAAATGCCGCAGGTTTTTTTTGTGAATAACTTCGTGTCACATATTGACCAATCAGAATTAAGGATTTTCGGTCAGGCAGCTTCGAGATATTTCGATATAAAACAACTTCATGTTGCGTTCATCTTTAGTAAATAAGATATTTAAAAATCCCCCCCGAGGATCGTTCAACCGAATTCCCTACTCTGATTGCTGCCTTCCCAGCCAATAAGAATCTGCCTTTACGAGCGTCGACCAATCCCCTCTCCCCACTCCCTTCGACGACCGATCGACTCCGAAAATTCTGACCCAAAAAAAACTGAATTCACACGGTCAGGAGCACGCAATGAATCGCACCAACTGTAGGCGGCTCGTAACAAAAGGATTACAATAGAGGGGAGTGGGCGAGTGTCTCTCGAACGAGGCCATTGCGATTCAGCGCCTAACGATTAGTCATTTTGGTACATTCTGTGTATTCCACGGGTATTCACACATTCAACAGTTAAAATATCTTCACTTGTGTACGTCAGTGCGAAACTGCAGTGCATCAGGCAGATGCATTATCATTCTTCCCGAATACGTGAGGAATTAACTTCATCTAGTGACGCATTTTCAGAGGATTGAGAGGCTAATTCACTCTACAAATTCATGTAGATTATTGTTGATCGTCATTAGTGCTCCGTAGTGATCGAAAAAAATCATCTTGTGATAGAATCATCATGTTGATTCTTGTGTAGATTATTTTAGAGTCGTAGAAGCCAGAATTTCGTTGGACCATTCGTTTTTTCATTAGTTTGTGGGAGAAGTATACTTGAGACATGCCTGACAGTGAAGCGGTTTATCAACCCACTACTGTGGGGTATACCTATGAGACCGGTGGTGATAGTCATGAGGTTGGGGGTGGTTCTGGACTGAGGAATGGATTCTCCAGGATCATGTTCAGGCACAAAGTCAGCACGAGGAAATGGCTGGAGTGGGTATTGTTGTCGGTGGCACTCTGTGCTACTGTTGCAGGATTCACCACACTCGTTGTTAATCTCGTGGCTTCTGATGGAGTACCTGTGCCTAATAATAGTACTCAGGTATTGTGGAGGGTGACGGGAAATGTAATGTTTTCACGTCCACTTGTTCTCATTATTCCTGAGTTTGCACACCTTTCAGAACCAAGAAAAAAAATTAATTTCCTTAAAACAATGGAAAAATGCCCTAGTGAGTTAATTGGTGGGGAATTACTTTGTAAATTATTATTGATAATGAATTTAATTAACGCTCATGTGGGGTGAGCAAACTTGTTTTCATCATTCCTGAGTTTGCACACCTTTCAGAACCAAGAAAAAAAATTAATTTCCTTAAAACAATGGAAAAATGCCCTAGTGAGTTAATTGGTGGGGAATTACTTTGTAAATTATTGTTAATAATGAATTCAATTAACGCTCATGCGGAGTGAGCAAACTTGTTTTCATCATTCCTGAGTTTGCACACCTTTCAGAACCAAGAAAAAAAATTAATTTCCTTAAAACAATTGAAAAATGCCCTAGTGAGTTAATTGGTGGGGAATTACTTTGTAAATTATTATTGATAATGAATTCAACTAATGCTCATGCGGAGTGAGCAAACTTGTTTTCATTATTCCTGAGTTTGCACACCTTTCAGAACCAAAAAAAAAAATTAATTTCCTTAAAACAATTGAAAAATGCCCTAGTGAGTTAATTGGTGGGGAATTACTTTGTAAATTATTATTGATAATGAATTCAATTAACGCTCATGCGGGGTGAGCAAACTTGTTTTCATTATTCCTGAGTTTGCACACCTTTCAGAACCAAAAAAAAAAATTAATTTCCTTAAAACAATTGAAAAATGCCCTAGTGAGTTAATTGGTGGGGAATTACTTTGTAAATTATTATTGATAATGAATTCAATTAACGCTCATGCGGGGTGAGCAAACTTGTTTTCATTATTCCTGAGTTTGCACACCTTTCAGAACCAAAAAAAAAAATTAATTTCCTTAAAACAATGGAAAAATGCCCTAGTGAGTTAATTGGTGAGGAATTACTTTGTAAATTATTATTGATAATGAATTCAATTAACGCTCATGCGGGGTGAGCAAACTTGTTTTCATCATTCCTGAGTTTGCACACCTTTCAGAACCAAGAAAAAAAAACAGGGGAGGGTGGGGTAAAATGGACACTTTCGACTTTTTTTCAATTGTTTATAACTCAGAAACAAATTTATCAATTGAGCTCAGTTTAGGCTCGTCACAAAGGGAAAGAATTGTTCTTTGTATTGGAAAAAAAAATTATCAAATTTCATGAACATTTCAATCCCTCATTAACATTTGAAAAAAAGTCAAAAGTGTCCGTTTTACCACAACCTCCCCTACCCTATTTTCCGTATGGCTGTGCTAGCTTGAGAAAAACCTTAAAAGCAACCTTAAAAAGCAAAAAAAAAGAAAAATTCGAAATTTTCGTAATTAATTAACTTTCGGGTGTGCAACTAGCGAGAGCACGTGTACTGTATTGTATTATCCAACATCAATTGTATTATTCGACTTGAATCACATGACCATCAAAAGGTTTCAATTTTTCATGCTTGGAAAAATAGAACATGTTCAGAATTTCCTGAAATAATTGAAAAAACATCAACTAACGCATTTTTCGGATTTCAGGCTGATAGTAAACCCCAGTCAGATTCAAATGGAGGCACCAAAGTGGAGGATAAAGCTCCAGAAGATCCATCCCGTGGATCTCTAGCCGTTGGAGCCTGCATAACCCTTCTGGGTGTTTCGATGGGCGCCCTGTGGATCTGGATGCGCTTCTTCCGCCGTGGTGGCAAGTCCCAGAGGGGTGGTGTGAGTCGTGCCAGTGGACAGGTGAGACCCCACAATCCCACTATTCAACACAGTAAACTCACCTCGTAATCCTCACCCTTCACCGAATTTTCATCACTCATTTTAGTAGTGAAATGGTTAAACGAGATACATCAATCCAGTTTTTTGAACATATCTTGGAGTCTATTGGAGCCGGAGAAAGCTTTGTGAGGACCTACTTTGAAGCCCTCATTTCGTTGCACAAAGAAGGTCCTCAGGAAAAATTTTTCGTTTTCATTTGATTCCGATATCTTTATCGAAAACAAATTACAAGTGGAATTTCTTCTGGATTGATTGTTTGATTTATTGATTAAACGTGTTATTGCTGTCCTGAAATTAATTATTCCCTGAGAACAATTTACATAGAAAACTACATGATAATTTGTGTTTATGATAAAATACGTAGTTCCATGTTTCACTTCCATGTGTCTTCGACAATGATGTTCATTAAGATCAATTTTCATTACATTCTTCTTCTTCTAATTCTAATGGGAGAGAAGACAGGGAGAACGAGATGTTCGTAACTTTTAATATTTTGAGATTCTCAGACCTCCCTGACACTCTTCAATAAAGCTAGATTCATCGAAATCCTGCCACTTTTTTTTATTTTTTTGGTGTCCTGCCATTTAGTAGGAAGATATTGAAGATACAAGAAGATTCATTTCATTTCTTCGTTTCTAAATGCAACTTTTTTATCAGTGTAGGTATCCTACAATTACAATTTACACAACGAGGAACAATTTAGTGGCTGTTAACAAGGCTATTACCATGATAATAATTCATTAATATTTAACGAATCGTGGTGATAGTTAAGAAGCCTCGTTAAACGCAATTAAGTCTTTATCAGTTTAGTACTTTGGGCTTTTCTATTCGTTAAATTCTTCGACGTGTCTATTCGAATCTCGTTTGACACTAGACTACCGAAGATTTCGCAGTGATTCTTTTGATTGTGATTATTCAGACAGTGATTATTTAAACTTTGAAGGTTCAAACTTAATTCTTTACTTTGAACTGTTCGGGAAAAAGAGAGATTTCACTTTTTGAAGAAAATTCATAACGTAATTCAAAAATTGTGATTTTCAAAGATTACGACTTTTTATGAATTAATGGTTCATAAGTTGTCGATTCTGCACCCAAAAAATAATCATTCTTTGTAAATTGTAACAAACTTGTTCATATTCGAAATTTTACCAGAAATTGAATTCATGCGAAACAAAATGAAGTTCTCGAAACTTCTAATAATTTCAATCATTCATTCATAAGAACGGAATGACTAAAAAAGTATTTTTTTGTCATTTGGGCCGTACGGAAGCGCTCACTGCCTACAGCCGTTATGACAAAAACTATTGTTCGTCACACGGTTAAAAAAACTGTTTTAGCTCATGATTGCAACCTTCGGCTCGGGCTGCAAACTCATTCGCCAGAAAAGTTTTTTTCGGCCTAATGACGACGCATGCTATTATGGGAAACTCATCACGAGGATATTTTTTGTAGCTCTCATTCAACTCTATGACAAAGGTCCTCAGAAAAATTTGCAACGGAAAAATCATAAAAAACTATGTGACTTGTCTCGTTTAACCCCTTCGCCACTCATTTACTGAAGAAAAAAAATGTTTTTATTTTTATTTTTAATTTATTTGAACAACCTCCCTTTGACCACATTATTTTACCCCTTATGTAAACACGTAAGATGTTGGGCGGTTTGAATCCATCAACTGACTTGCTGGTGGGTTCCACTTCGCAGTACGGGCCAGTACTTACGGAGGTGCCAAGCCAGATGACAGTTAAGCAGATTGTCAATGATAATCGGGCTGTACCGCTGTCCGATCAGGAGGAGGAGACTTACACGTTGATGGAGGATGCCAGTGGTAATTTCAAGAGAACTGACAATGCGCAGGAGAACAACATCAACAATCAGAACACAGGCTGAGTAGGTCTTCAGGATTGATTATATTTCGCAACTATTGATCCTCGTAATCACGTGATTTTCTGAGATTGAGGAGGTTCTAGTACACGTACAACCATTTCTACTGGGATTTTTTTATGATTTCGATCATTCATATTTTTTCATCACGCTGTGACGAAAAGTGGACTTTTAGGCACCCGGAGCGTGCCGAAAAGTTCACTTTCCGGCACATTGTGATGAAAAATATTGTTCGTAACTCGTGAAAAAATGTTTTTTGCACTCGTTACGAAATATACTATTCCATCACGCTGTACAAAAAAGTAACTTTTTAGGCACGCTTCGTGTGCCAAAAACATTCCTCTTTCCACATATTGGAATGAAAAATATCGTTTGATTTAAGTGCGGAAAAGTGTTTTTTGGCTCGTGGGAGGTTCCGCTTCGCACGAAGTGCGGAGCCGAAGGCGAGTGATATAATGCCATGAGCCAAAAAACACTTTTCCGGACTCGTATCGAAATATACTATTATTGATATCTTCACGTAGATTTAAGCTATTTCCCAAGAAATTCATAATTCTTTTTGAAAAGAAGTAGATTGTTATCGTTATGTCAACGATTGAATTGGATATCAAAGTTTTATTTTACGAAATGAGTTCTGTAATAGAGAAAGATGGTAATTTAGTGATCGAAGTGGTAAACTTAAGACTTTCGATGATTGTGCATTGATCTTGAGAACAAGTGATTTTAGGAGAAAATGTCAACAAGAGATGTTTTTTTTTAATAAATTGAATTCTTTTAAAATCGATGTTCTTCAAGGCATTTTCAGAATGAACTGGTGAAAACAGATTCTAATTCCAATTTAAGATATTTATGGCGTAGTCAGGGGGGGTCGAAAAAAAAGTCAAGAAACTGATGATTTTTGTTTATATTAGGTGTGTGAATATGACTCCGCCCTTTCCCAACACATGTCGTTTTTAGTATTGCTTACGTGCACTAATAAATAGCAACACTTGTATTTGATAGTCCTTTATGTCAGCTGTCAAACGCACTACGTGACATTTGGTTGAAATGTAAGCAACAAGTGTTTTTACCTCCGTGACAATGTCGGTTTTCGTTCCAAGTAAACATCATTTGCGGGAAGTGTTATTACACTATTATATTGCAAAGAAAAGTAGCGGAAACTCATCGTTTGCTTGTGGAGATTTGCGGTGAGCATGCTCCATCTAATAAATACAACTTGCAAGGAATGGTTTCGACGATTTCAAAATAATGACTTTGGCACTGAGGACAGAGAACATGGAAAACCACCAAAAAAATTTGAAGATACTGAATTGGAGGCAGAGGATTCTTGCCAAACTCAATCAGAATTGGCCGGAGCATTAAATGTTGAACGATCAACTGTTGCAAAGCGTTTAAAAGCAATGGGAAATAGTTCAAAAAGTTGGTAACTGGGTTCTATATGAATTGAAAGAAAGAGACATGGAACGTCGAAAAACAATTTGTGAAATGCTACTTCAAAGACAGCAAAGAAAAGGATTTTTGCATGAAAAATGGATATATTATGAGAATCCTAAACCCCAAAAAGAAATATCCACAGTGCCAAGGATATGCTCTGCATTTGGTGGGATCAGAGAGGTGTCGTATATTATGAGTTGCTCGAACCCTCTCAAACTATTAATGAAGAATTTTACCGACGACAACTAATGCGTTTGAAGCGAGCCATAGAAGAAAAACAACCAGAATGGGTGAATAGGCACAGTAAATTAATTCTTCAACATGACAATGCCAAACCGCATACCGCCCGAGTTGTGAAAAGATATTTAGATGGACAGGACTGGGAAGTGCTACGCCACCCGCCATATTCGCCAGACAACTCCTTCGGATTACCACTTATTCCGAACACTGCAGTCAGATCTTACGGGAAAACGGTTCACTTCATACGAAAGTATCAAAATTTGGCTTGATAATTGGATCAGCTCAAAAGACCAGGATTTCGCCCAGATTTTTGCGCCATTTGTTCAATGCTTCGCGAAACTCGAAATCAGAACAAAATTTCCGCTTTTTTAAAATAGTATATTGTGCATCAAGGGCGGAAAGTCATGTTTTCTCGCTCGAGGTGCACATGCTATTTTTCAACACGCTTGCAAAGGAAAGTTCGTATTTTGTTCTTTGATGAGCGGGAGGAAAGTACGAACTTTCCGTGCAAGTGTATTAAAAAATAATTTTGTCTGATGCTAGGAGCGGCTACTCCTATTCCAGACAAATATCCAGATTGACTATCTCAACCATCAAATTCCAAGGGGGTTTCTGGATTCCTTTATTCGTTTCTGATATAACTAGCTCGTATTAGAATTCCGGTGTAAGCATTGTCCGGGTGACCTTACTGGTGTTTTGCTTCGTTTGTTTTCAATACTTAATCACTTCATCTAAGGAATTCCATTATATTCCTAATCGCGAATACCTTAAATTGAAATATGTTGCTATCTTCAAACCCCAAAGTTAAGATCGATGAATGAAAATAATCGAAGTTTCAATTCCAATAATTAATTATCCGTTGTCCAAATAATAATTGTCTACAGTATTGCAAATTTTTCACTTTTAACAATGCACTTTTCCCAATCGGCTGATCGACGTTGTCACTTTTTCGATCCACATTAATTATTTTCCAAATATTCCAAAGACAAGCTAGAAAAAGTAAAGAAGGCTTGAAATATGTGGAAAAAATTAGAAAAGTTATTAAAAAAATATTTCGAACACAAAAATGGTCGAAATAGATTGAAAATTTGTGATTGAAATATCGTTTTTTTTTGTTCAGTGATTGGTCTTCTGCGAGAGAATAATAGATTCCAGTCAGTCTCACCTCGTACAGGGCCACTGCGCCATAAATACCTTAAAATCTACTTTGTTGATTCGGCAATCATCTCGGAAGTCGAGAGTTTTTGAAGAAAATAGAATTTCCTAAGCGGGAAATCTGGCTTCTTTAAATCTCTAATTACCGAAATGATTTCACAAAACATAAAAAACGAGAAGTTCAACTTCAAATTGAAGATATATTTCGAAAATTGAGAATTAATTTTCATAACTGATTTTAGAAGAAAATGTCAAAATGTTTCATTTGTAGAGAATTAAATTTTCTGAGCGTCTGACATTTTTCTCCAAGATTTGCAGCCTCCCAAATAATTTCATAATTAACTGATGAGAAGAGATTTAAACTCAAATAGAAAATTGACGTTGTCCAGAAAAAAATATCAAGCGCCTATTCCTTTTAGTTCATAAGATTTTGACTGAAATATGTCTCATGGCATTTTCTTCTAAATTACCTAACAAGATAATTCAGTTTTCAATAAGATGTGAAGAAATTACTCGTTCTGTTTCAGTTTACTCTGCATCTCAACTGTACTCAATAAAATACTGGGATCTCCTCAAGAAAATGAAAAATCATAATATTAAATGTAGATTCGCTCACTATCCCGATGGATAACAAGCATCCTATTTGAGTAATAATTTTAAAAAATCTACCTTCCTCAATAAAGAAATATTATATTTTTTTTAATAGGTTGTAGATGAGCCACAAAATCGAAAAAATATTTGTCAAGTATTTTAAATCATTCTCAATGGTTATAAAAATACTTTTTCGGTTTAAATTGTGGTCCGATAGATTTTGTTAGTTCGTAGAGAGCTCTGTGATGCCGCGGAAGCGAGTCACCTCGCGACCCAATGCACAACGACTTCAAGGAAAATTGAAATTGAAAAAAAAATGAAACCAATACCAGAACAATGCATATAAGAAATATTGAATGAGGGATTATTCCTCTCGTGTACTGTATGCATGAAATTAATGACTGTTTATCTTTTTTTCTATTTTTTAATATGATGAGTTGAATTTAGGTACATACTCCAAGAGATAACCAAATCATTCACACATTTCGTCGGTTTTTGTAGTTAATTTTATTCCGTCCATTACACAAAACTTGTACAATTGGGTCGAGCTTAAAGAAAACTATACCTTCGAACAATTTTCATGATTGTTGAGTAATTAGTTACTGAGCAATTGCTATAAACATATTATTGACCATGATTATTTTTAATGTTACGTTGTGTTTCATTTTATTATTGAATTTATGTACCATTATACTATGAATATATGAACGGAAATAAAGACTGAGTGAGTGAATGAGAAGAAAGATGTAAAAAATTTTCTTCTCGTATACCCTTTCGGGTCTTTACGATTTGTTTCCTTCCCACCCCCCAACCGCCTGTACCGCATTCGCCGAAGGACAAGGGAAACTTCATTTGAGGGAAAAACCTGCCCAGGTACAGTCGTCTCAAACCTCAATAAATCTTTGGAGCGGATAGGTATCGTTGACAGCCCCGAATGCACTTGTGGAATCGATGAACAAGATATAAATCACGTATGAAACTACCCCCATACTATCCCAATATAGTGATAGAGATCTCAGGACATCTAAACCAATTAAACTCAAATACCAAAGATCGTACACCATAAATGCGCTCCTGGCGTCAACGAACCTGGAACCTCCCAAAATAATCCATGAATTCATAATAACATGTCAAATTGGAATCTAATGCAACTACAGACAATCAAATGCTAACTATTCTCAATTTGTAACAAATTTGTTTACAACGTTTTGTAAGTAACCCAATGAGGGTCTACATATCAATAAAAAAAAACCACAGCAGTAATATTTTCGGAAATTTCGTCGACTATGCTATCGCAAAATTTCGGAAGTCCTGCTGTGTGGGTTTCACAAATTCAATTTTGAAGTTGACTCGAGAACTTTTATAAATTAATGATCGATATATCTTGGCAATTATTGAGTGAGTGAGTGAATGAGAAGAAAGATGTAAAAATTTTTCTTCTCGTATACCCTTTCGGGTCTTTACGATTTGTTTCCTTTCCACCCCCCCAACCCCCTGTACCGCATTCGCCAAAGGACAAGGGAAACCTCATTTGAGGGAAAAACCTGCCCAGGTACAGTCGTCTCTCACCTCAATAAATCTTTGGAGCGGATAGGTATCGTTGACAGCCCCGAATGCACTTGTGGAATCGATGAACAAGATATAAATCACGTATGAAACTACCCCCATACTATCCCAATATAGTGATAGAGATCTCAGGACATCTAAACCAATTAAACTCAAATACCAAAGATCGTACACCATAAATGCGCTCCTGGCGTCAACGAACCTGGAACCTCTCAAAATAATCCATGAATTCATAATAACATGTCAAATTGGAATCTAATGTAACTACAGACAATCAAATGCTAACTATTCTCAATTTGTAACAAATTTGTTTACAACGTTTTGTAAGTAACCCAATGAGGGTCTACATATCAATAAAAAAAAACCACAGCAGTAATATTTTCGGAAATTTCGTCGACTATGCTATCGCAAAATTTCGGAAGTCCTGCTGTGTGGATTTCACAAATTCAATTTTGAAGTCGACTCGAGAACTCCTTTTATAAATTAATGATCGATATATCTTGGCAATTATTGATTTTAGAAGAAAATGTTGCAAATCTTATTCGTCTGAAAAAGATTATTCTGTCAAACTTATCCATTGAAATTTTCTCCTAAAACCCCTCTTCTCGGATCGCATGAATAAAAATGTGCGTTTCAAATTTGACCTGTAATTTTCTATTAATTAATGACCAAAGTGTCGCAAAAATTATCGATTCTGAAAAAGATATGATTGTAAAATTTCATTCTTTACAAAAAGGATCTTTCAAGAAATGTCAATTACCATTTCGTGTAAAGAATTGAGTTTCCATTTTTTCCCGCTTCTCTTGTCATTTAAATTTCCGTGGGAAAATTGAGGTTATGGCTCTCACGTGGACCTGAATGTTTATTTGTCATGCAAGGCTGTACAATTTCCTAAAAATTATGAGTAAACGATCGAAAATAAATTTAACCAGTATTAGAAATAAAACTACTGAAGCCCCAATTAAACCAGAAACAAATCATGAAGACGATCAGACCGTGTCAAAGTACTTTGTCGCGGAAATTCTCGAGCCGCAGAAGCCCAGAGCACCCAGAAAACGAAGATCGATCGAAATAAAGTACGAAAAACGTCCAAAATCTGCCGAGAATCCCCCGAAATCTACCGCAAAAAAACTCGAACCACCAGCGAAAAATGCAACAACTGGGGATGATGAAAAACATGAACATGTAGACAACAACGAATGGATGCCAGATAACTGGGAGAAGACCTTTGAACTCATCAAAGAGATGAGAAAGAATAACACAGCTCCTGTGGACGAGATGGGCTGTCACAAGTGTTCAGATGAGAAAGCAAGTCCTCCAGTTTTTCGTTTCCAGTCGCTGTTAGCCCTGATGTTGAGCAGTCAGACGAAGGATCAGGTGACACATGCAGCGATGGAGAGATTAAAGATTTATGGATGCACCCCTGAACTTCTGCTCAAGACTCCTGATGATGTCCTGGGGAAATTGATCTATCCTGTTGGATTTTACAAGGTAAAAAAATTTGTAAATAATTATTTTCGAGTTATTTTTGCTAATATTTTTTAGTTATCGTGGGACAACCGATTTTCGAAAAAATTCAAAAATATAAAAATTGATGGGGCTCAACAATAACTATATTTGGAAAAAGAAAGATTCAGTTTCATCCAGTCATTAGTGAGCAATTGAACAAAAACTTTGTTACATAGGGGAGCATGGGGCAAAATGAAACACGGGGCAAAATGAAACAGTGGGAAAATCTCGTCATCTAAAGGAGATAGGACATTTTTGAAGAGGACCTTTTTTGTAGCTTGTAAAATTCTCTACAAAAAAGGTTTTCATGAAAATCGTCCTATCTCCCTTAGATCACAAGATTTTCTTGCTGTTTCATTTTGCCTCGTGTATCATTTTGCCCCACCGTCCCCTACGTATGCACATAAACACATACGTACGGACGAGGTCTGAAAATTGCATTTTCGAACTTTCCGGATCATACTGGGTCGATGCAACACAACAAATCCAAAACTTAAATTTCTACCATTACAAAGCTTCCATTCGGAAGCAATAAGCAGTTTTTTAGGATTGCAATTTACAGATTTTTCCTCCCCAAATGCAGTAGTCAATTTCTTACTCGTAGTATAATGCCTTCCACATGCATGAGTTTCTTGAAATCAGTAACTTGGTTCTGGAAACTGGGAGATTTTTTTCTCTGTCCCTCTAATGCCTTTTCCGGAAAAATCGACGATTTAGTTAAGATTCCTCTACTCTTTATGAGGCCAAAAAACTCTATAATCCTTATTTTATGAATATCTCTGAAACTAACAGGTCCAGAAGAACTGTGAAAAGCAGAGTTACGCAAAATCATAATTAGAGTAAAAATAATTTCATTAAGAGAGGGTGCGGTAAAATGAACATTTTCTACTTTCGTTGAAATCTTCACAACTCGGAAACAAATTGATCAATTGAGTACAGTCTAATCTCACCCAAAGAAAAAAGTGTTATCCCATTTCATAAAGAATTGAATCAATTATTACGATTTTTTAAAAAGACATGTGTTAACTGTATTCTACTATTTTTTAATTTCTATTAAGATAATCATCAGCCATGGTTTTTCAAATTTTCCAATATTTTATAAATCAATAATTGACTTCGAAAGATTGACCATTATTTGGTTAATAGAAATTTAGAAATTTAAAATTAATAATAATTTAGTTTAACACTAATTAAGATAGCAGAACAATTGATCCTGAGACATTTCATCCTAGGGTTTTTTATCCTTATTTTGGAAAAAAATCTGAAAAAAAAGACTTCGTAAGACAAAATTTTCGAGAAAAAAGACCATAGAAAAAAAATCTTGTTATGAAAATTGATATTCTATTGGATTATGTCATTCTATTTCATTATGAAACAATTAAGATAAAAATTACCAAAAATTAGTAATCGCAGCATGATCTGCATCCTTTCTGATAGGCACTGTACTTCCATATCACTTTACCTGAACCGTCACTGTATATTTATAAAATGTGTGTGCATCAACAATCGATGTTTTTTGCCCTCTTTGGGTTTTATCAAATTTCAACACCATGTTCAATTAATTTCCACGAAATAATTGTTGGTAATTTGATTCTTAAATCGTATTGTTCTTCTTGGTAGTTGAAATGTATATTGAGGCATCGGAGTAAATTGTACGAAAAATCTTGCTTATTGGTAAGTGATATGTATGTGTATTGATGTATTGGATTTGTGTTGCACGTTTAATGATGTCGATAATCCGTTTGTTGTTCTTTATTTTAATTCAGCCGTATCTGATTCTGGTAGCACTGTCGTCTGTACATGTGTGGGATGAAATGTCTTAAAATTAGGATGAAATGGCTGGGATGAAATGGCCCAGGATGAAGTGGATAGGACGAACTGTCATGGAATCCTAATTCTAAAATATTTTTAAATTTCAATAAAGAATTCTTAATCACTCCACTACTAGATTCCCTTTGGATCGTAAATGTATGTCTCCTTTGATTCCATCTAGCGTAAAGTCCAGTACATAAAGAACACCTGTGAAATCCTCCTTCGAGATTACAAAGGCGACATTCCAGATACAATCGAAGGACTCTGTGCCCTCCCAGGCGTTGGCCCTAAAATGGGCCACATTTGCATGCAAGTCGCCTGGAACCAAGTAACAGGAATTGGAGTTGATACTCATGTACACAGGATCTGTAATCGTCTCAATTGGGTTAAGAAACAGGCGAAGACTCCAGAGGAAACGAGGAAGCAGCTGGAGGAGTGGCTCCCCAAGCATCTCTGGACTGAGATCAATCACCTGCTAGTTGGGTTTGGCCAGGAGATCTGTCTACCTCAGCATCCTAAATGCGGAGAGTGCCTCAATAAAAATCTTTGTCCATTCGCGAAGAAAGGCAAAGTATGAAACATCCATTTTTTTCCTCTAAAGTGTCAGTATTATTAATTAATAATGGAGTTTCAACAGCAGAATGACGTAACGCCATCAGTCAATTTTTTAATTTCTGTTTGTTGTCCATTTTCACTTCCAAATAAATGATTTTAGGGGAAAATGTCGAGATACTTTTCGTACAAAGGAGAATTGAATTTTATACAAAAAAATGTTCTCTGATGTTTTCCTCTAAAATCGCTAATTATGGAGATAAATTGATGAATATTCGGTGAGAGAAGATTTCAAGTCCACTTTGAAATTTACTCTGTTGATTCATTAGTGTATTTTTGTAGTGAATTGAACCCACAGAAAAGATTTCTCGCAAAAGGAGGTTTCAACTTCAAATACAGTTTAAAAAATCAGAAGAAACTTTATGTTAAGAATTAAACCAACTTAATTAATTACTTCCAACAAAATAGACTTTTGATATTGCCCTCCAAAATTACTACATGTAATGAAATAGGAAAAATTAATTAGGTAGTTGTATTACATGTTATCTTTCTACTACTGATGTAGAAGGCATGATTTAGTATTTTCAAACAATTTATTTATTCATGATGCTACCGTTATTGATTGATTGAAAAATAATTGATCAACAGCATGAAATATCAACGCAGAATAAAAAGAAAAATGATTTGTTAAAAGACAATTTAATTTACAAAATAAAATACAAACTTTTTCAAGACTTTTTCTTGATCAATTTCCTCTTAGTCTTTCCCTTGGCCTTCTTGATAGCTCTCTCCTGTTTGAACTGTACCTTTTTCGCCAGTTTTTTATTCCTTTGACGATCTAATCTCTGTTTCAATTGGAATACTTTACTTCTACTCGTCTGTTTCAATGTTTCCTTTTGCCGAGCTTTACTTATAGATTTTTTTGATAATTGGGGTTTGGTTTCTTCGTTCTCGTTTGTATTCTTGGACTTTTTGGGTTTCAATTCCATACCAGGGACGTTTTGCTCTTCACTTTCTTCTGCTTCTTCAACTTCTTCTTCATCGTTACACTCTTCTTCGTATTTAGGTTTATTTTCACCGATCCAGTTGGAGCTCTGAGCTAAATCGTTGACATTCAGCTCCAAAATACTGACTGTCTTGCCATCTGTCTCATATTCCTGTTTGAGGAGGAGTTCCTCCAGTTCCGGAATGTCTCGTTGGGATACGAGGGTCTTAAAACGTTCACGAGCCTGAAACAACATTTTTTTAAAAATCTAAATTCAAGAATTTTTCTGGAAGACAGTAAGGTAGAATGGAATTTTCTGAATCAGTCACGGAAATAATAATAATCTGGAATCAGGAACTTTACACTTGGCTCTAGAATAAATGATTTTTGCCTTCAATGTAAAAATAAAAGTCCTCGATTCTAGAATGAATTATTCTTGATTGAAGACTATTGTGAACCTTAGTCAAGAATATTCATTTTCCAATTGAAAATTTCCATATTCTTCGCTATAGAGAGTATATTCTTGACTGGAACATATTTATCCATTTTTCGAAAAATGGATAATCGATTTCCAGTGAAATCAACAATTCTGATAGCTAAAAAACATTACTTCCAGTAGCTTTAAAAAAATTAGTAAATGCATTACTCCTTATACCCGGGCCCTTATGGGATTCATTTTCAAATCGTCGTTTTCTCTGCTAGAAGACTCCAAAGATTAATATAAAAATAGAGAGCAACAGAAAAATATACGGAATTAATGACAAAAGGAACGCAGATAGAGATTGGAAAGAGTAACTTGAAAATGATATTAGAACAGTTGAATTCCACTCTACAACTCTTGACTTATTCATAGTTTCAATGTCTGAATTTCTTGGAATTTCAATGAAACTGTTACTTGGTAAAAATTTCCACGAAGTGTGACGTAAATTTCAGCCAACAATACTAGGCAGGCTAATAATCGCTATAATGATATAGAGTACCTACGTGAAGCCGCATTTATTTCAATAGCGCAGCGGTTAAACGATTCAATTCGAATTAATTCTTAGCTGAGTTTTTGGGAAATATCTCCAAATCTAAGAGAGATAGCGAAATTTTCATGATGACTTTTTTTGTAGCTCTCAATTCATTCTACAAAAAATATGATGGCGAAGACTTTGGAATCTGCCTTAGATTCCAAGACATTCATTGAAAACTAACCAATAGTCGAAATCGACTTAAACTGTTGTACCGCTTCGCTACTGATTTGTTATTGTGAAATTCAATCTATTCATTATGTGATTGTGGGTTTAATTTAATTCATTGTTAAAAATTTGTGTCCGAAATTTCCGGTACACTTTTAGGAAATTTTTATCAAATTTAATTACCACTGAAATTTCACGGAATTTCGTCATTGAAAATTCAGAATTTCGTGGAAAAATCAAAGAGCACTGTAAATTTCAGTTCTATTTTTCCCTGCAAATAATTAGAAAATCAGAAAATGCTGGTAAATATATTCTTGAATGTTCAGGACAGTGACACTGAATGCGACTTAGGGGGAAAAAAATCATGAAGTTTCAGACTGTACTGAAAATTCAATGTAATTTGGCACTGAATTATTTATATTAAATTGAAAATTCAAATAAATTAAGGAATTCTCGTCTTTACGCTGCTTCAAATTTTGGGATTTTACTGAATTTTCAGTGAAACCTGAAATTTCATTATTTTTTTCCCCCTAAATCGCATTTAGTGTCACTGTCCTAAAAAATTAGTAGTTAATTGTCCATGAAATTTCATTTTTTTCTAACAGTGTTGTTGAAATCAAAGTGATTTGAAAACTAACATTATTGAAAAAATTACGTTAAAGCTCGATTGTGTAAAGATAATGATAAAGATCAAAGAAAAAAACTATGGATGTCATGAATTATCCATGTGGTAATTTATCTATATAATTAACCTACTCTGCGAAGAAATGGATTCTCGTTTAAAAAATTTCCGTTAAAAAACTTCATCAACTAAACTTGGGCAAACCTATTTTTTAACAAAAAAAAATTGAAGAAAACATAATTCGAACAACCTGAACTTCAAAAAACTTGAAATAATTGTTAACCTTTACCGTATAAAGAAAATTGCAAAAAAAAATTGAAAAATGTAGGGGAAATAGGGGTAAAATGGACACTTTTGACGTTTTTTAAAATGTTAATGAGCGGTTGAAATGTTGATGAAATTTAATAGTTTTCTTTCAATAGAAAGAACAATTCTTCCCCTTTCTGATGAGCCTAAATGGAGCTCAATTGATAAATTTGTTTCTGAGTTATGAACAATTGAAAAAAGTCTAAAATGTCCATTTTACCCCATCCTCCCCTACATAAATATACATACATCCATACAGACACTTCTAAAAATCGCATATTCGGACTTTTTGGACTATATTTAGTTGCTCTGACACAAACATTTGGAAACTTAAATTTGAACGATTACAAAGCTTCCATTCAGAAGCAAAAATTAAAAAAGTCGAACGAACCACAATGCAAAACATCATATCCAGAATAAGCAAGATCAAATCTTGATTATGAATGATTTGACGCAAATTCATATACAGAAGGAAATAAATAACACAACTACACACTGAAATTCCAAACGCAAACACAGATTTTACCTATATTTTTACAAAAGACCAGATAACCGAAAGGTTTTACTGACGGAGGTTCAATTTGACAAACGTTCAATTAACCAAAAATTCAGTTTCCCAAGTTTAATTTAAGCAGATTTTTTTAACAAATTTTTTTGACGTGCTTCGGATGAAATTAACTATCTTTCATCGTCGTGTCGTGAAACGATGAATTCCATGTTGACTAGTGGTAGATTTATATTTTACCTCTTGCTTTATTCGTTTCTTTTCCTCTTTCAATTTCACTTTCAGCTCTTCCTGAGCCTTCTGCCTTCTCTGGAGTTTCCTCTTGTGGAATCCACCCAGAAAGTCCCTGAGAATGAAAGAAACCGGTTTTTACATCGAAATCTTCAAGATGCGTTGACAAAATACTCACTTCCTTTTCTCCTCATCAAAGACCAGAGTGATTTTTCTACGTTTCTTCGGTTTACCCGGTTGACGATCTACGTTCAGAAGTTGGGGAACTCCTTTTACTCCAGGTCGCATGGTTCTCTTTACTATTTTTTTTGAGGTTATAATGTGACATGTGTGGAATTAAAGGTTAGAAAGTCGTTGCATCGAAAAACTGCAGATAGCGCCGTTCAATCACCAAACTGTACCAAAAACTGCAATAGCGACGATGCCAAATAAAGCCTCCAAAAGTAAAACTCTGTGAGTATATCTAAAAACTGTTTGTGTTCCCCTTTGGCATTTTTCAGTCAGAAAACAGTCAGATAACCATCCGTCGTATCTAAAGTCCTTGATATACTGTTGTTTGTAATGTTCATCCTCTTCGCTAATGATGTGCAACAAGAAAGATGGACGAAACGAAAATATTCAAAAACAATAAGAATTAGGAACACCAAGATAATCATAACGTAGACGTAATCCACAAAAAAAAAATCCTTCAAATATTCTGTAAAAAAATAGTTGTTACAATGCTGCCAGTGTATGCTCGTGTGTTTTTTGTGTCTGTGCCTCAGCTACGAAGATTCTTCACATACGTTTGATTCAGAGGAAATTTTTCAGCACTTTCTAATGAGGGAAAAAGTCCATTTTCCGTTGAATAAGTCGCACTAAATAAATTTCCGAACTGACCAATGATCAATAAGGTATGAGACAATAACTGGAATATATTGGATAATTTTTTTTATCCATTAATCTATCGATGTCTTTAATGTTATGAAATGGTGTCCTCAATTGGATTGGCTTTCACAGAAATAGCAATGGTTGAAACAGGCAGAGAGTATATTCTACAGTGGCCTGGTCATGCAGCAAGTATCACGGAGAGATTCAGTGGCCTCCTGGCACGTCAGGCACTCGTTGATGTTACGTTATTATGCCAGAATCAGGAATTACGTGTTCATAAACTTGTACTTGCATCCTGCAGTCTCTACTTCGAGGTAAAAATTAATTATCAATGAAAAAGTGAGGAGTCTAGTTAGATAATAGATCAGTTGGAGAGAGTCCATGGGGAAGTGATTTTGCTAATATCTTCGAATCAGAGCTTTGAGTACATTTTCGAAAGAATTTTTTTAGAGAAGTCCAAGAGCTACCAAGAAAGTCCCTTCATAAATTTTCATATGCCCCTCTACTCTGAGGATATTTGCAAAATAATGTATGGGTTTTTTTTATTGTGTTTTAAATTTATCACTGAAGTAATATGGTGGACAATTGTGAACAATGGCATTCCCATTGTTCACAATTTTTGTTTCAAACTTTGGAGTTTCGTTTGACGTTTTCTGGGATTTTCAGGAGATGCTGGAGCAAGACCTGGGTCAGGAGCCCACGATAATTCTGAATGATCTTCATTTCAATATTCTCAAGGCTATGATTGAATTTATGTATTGTGGGGAAACGACCATAGCCCACTGTCATTTGCAATCGCTCCTCAATGCTGCACGAGTATTCAAAGTAAGTGAACACATGTCTGCCTCAGAATTGTTATATAATGAGTGTATTCCTTCAATTGTTTTCTGATGGCTTTCTTGTGAAATTTTTCAATAAGCTCGAGCTAATAATAGAGAACGAATTCGTTACCCATGTAATGTGGACGTATGGGCTCGAGAACGAGTCTCAGTTATGGAATGGGGATTTTATAGATTGAAATACTCTGTAAAAAATCGACGTTCGATAGCTGGGATATGAGACTTTTCTCACTGATAACATTTTCCTTGTCATATAATTGGAAATCATAGTGAAACTGAATGTATGCAAGTGGAGAACATTCCAGTGGGGGTCCACACACTGAGAGTAAAAAACGTGTTCTCAAACAAGGCTAGTGGAAATCAAAAAATCGCAAGTTGATAATTTCCAAAATAGAAATTGTTTCATTTGAACATATGAAAGTTTCAAACATAAATGATCGCTCTGCTTTCAACAACGAAATATTTGACTCGAGAGGGAGATCATTCACATGAAATAGTGCCCTTTCAGAACGAAAATGTCTCTCATAAAGTTAAATTAAAGCAGTATAAACATAGCTCTCATTTTAAAGATTAAAATCTGAAATAAATTCTAAACGAAAGTTAATGTGAATGAAAACATTCTGGTTGACTTGGTCTCAATCGTCAGTCTACTATTATTGACAGTCATTAATCTAGAAGTGCAATAACGCAGAGTCTTGTGAGGAAATGAACTTTTCGAGGTTGGGGAGAAGATTAAAATCTCGAGAAAATCTTAAAAAATCAGAAAAAAGAAATAAAAATTCTATGCCCAATATGAAAATTATCGTCAGTGTCAAACTTTTGTAGTAAATAATTTATGTTTCTGCCTACTCGGAATGGTGTGTTACGTCGAAAGTCCTTAATTAAACGAGAGACTATTGTTTAAAAAAATAATTGAAGAAAGAATTTCTTAGAATTCATGGGAAAAATTATCAATGATGATTAATTTTATTTTGACCTTTTTGAATTTATTTTTCTTCAAGCAATCAAGCAATATTTGGTTCCTCCGTTACAGGATTGCTGTCATTCCATCATAATCATTCTTAGAAGAATGAATTTCTTATCTTTGAGGATTGGATAACCAACACGAAAACTATTCTCCTTTGTTTCGCAAAAAACCACCACTTTTCATAATCAAAATATGTATTGTAGTAAAGAATAACAAATAGGTGCTAAAAATTGGATTTCTTACTTGCACACAAAATAACAATTTTTTAGAACAACTCATTCTAATTTTGCGACTAACATTTTCCATCCCAGAATGCTCTCTATATATTCAGTACCAAATTTTTACTTCTTGGCAATTTTCAACTCTCGATTTTTTTACTCCAACAAGACTTGTTTGAGAATATGTATTTATGAACCCTTGAAACTGAGACATTGTTACAAAGATAATTCAGTAGTATAATGACTGAGTTCAAGGGGAAATGTCACGAGATATTTTCTATCGACTTTGTTATTAATTTTTTTTATTCATTGGAGACCGAACAACCATCAATTGACCTCAGTCTGAACTCATCATGAAGAGGAAGAATTGTGCGGTACGAGGAAAAAGATTATCCCATTTCATTAACCGTTCAATGAATTATTAACATTTTAAACGAAGTTAAAAGTGTCCATATTGTCCCACTCTGCAAAAGTCTCTTGACATTGACTACTCAAACCAATAATTTTTAAGACGAATGGCCAATTGAGCTGAAAGAATTCGCTGGTTACTTTTCACTAAAGTTGATATTTTCTCCTTATATTCAGGTAAAACATCTCGAGTCACTAGTCACTTCAATGATAGACGCAAATGTCCCCCTGGACGGTGACCCTCACGACTCCCAAGAGTCTGACATTGAGGAGGAAGCCTCAATTCCTCACCTCAATAATTGCGCCCAAGCGCAGTCTCCAGAGAACGACGGAGAGAGTTCATCATCTACTTACATCTTCGAAGATTCAACATCCAGCTGTGATTCACCTCCAGAACTTGAAAATGTACTTGAGTTAGAGGAGGAACTTGGAATGTGTGATAGCCCCTCCCAATTACCACAATTACTACAAGAACTAGATGAAAATCATCAGCATCATGTGCGTGAAAAGGTCCACGAGGATCAATTAGATTCACCAGGAGGAATTGGCGAATGTTCACGTGTCTACACCCACAAAAAACGAACATCTCTGGACGACAGAAGATCCCAGTTCATTCCTTTAAATCTCTCTCAACTCCACGACTCTTTAACAACCGATTGCATTGATCTATCCTACGACAAAAACTGTGATATTTCCCCTGTTACTTTTTCCCCTGTCGACCTCGAGTCTGAGTACATCTTCAACATGAACTCCGAGAGTATTCAGCCCATGTCTCATCCCCCAAATTGCTCAATAACAGACAAACACAGAAGTATTTACGACGATTTAGATGTCCAAAGATTAGCTGCTCCTAGCTACAACAATATCCGAAAAATCAAGGAATTATTCTCTGATCAAAATCAATGCAACAATATCGGTACTACACCTGTATTGAGACGAAGTGTCAGGCTGAATCAATTGGAGAACGATGATACAGTAAATAATAACAGTGAAAGCATAAACTGTCAAAAGACTAAAGACTGCAAGAAACAGCCACTGAAGAAGCTGAAAAAATTCAGTAAAATAAAATCTATAAAATTGAATGGAAAAAATAAAGATTCCGAGTCGAGAATATCAGATGAGAATAGGAAACATGTGATCAATTCAAGATCACTGAGGAGTAGTCGAAAAATAGTAACGAAGAATCCTAGTAAATTTTCACTATCGAGAGAAGAGCAAAAGAGTAAAAATACTAAACTGAAGAGCGGAAAAATTGATAAGATGGAGTCCTTGGATAATGATGATTATGTTCCAGTGAAGTTGAATACAATAGCATCTGTCGATCGTTCCCTCTGGGGAGACATGTCAGATTTGCTCGAAAATTGCCAGAATCATGCTGTTTTACCTGACTATTCCAAGAGCAAAGAGATTCCTTTTGCTGTTGGTTTACTGCCTCTCAGAGCTGCTTTAGAAAGAATGCAAGCAATTCCTGATTATCAACCGAGGAAAACAAGGTCCTCCGTTGCACCGTACAAACTTGACTCATGTGGGCTCAAGAGGAAGGCAAATGGTGACATTGAGTCCATAGTAATTAGTAAGAAACAGTACAGCCCTGAGAGGAGTATCAACGAGTCCGACACTGTTTGCCATATTCAAATACACACGTCTTCCCAGTGCTCACAGAGTGACAAAATTGTTGAAGCCAAACGATTTATTCCGGTTGAACCAACGTCTGATAAACGATGACACAGAAGATTATTTAAATTGAGGGTTTACATTATTTATTATTTCGGGGATCGTTCCTACAATTTGTTTTGTATTTTTTTTGTGATTTTTGGAATTTTTTCGGGAATTCCTGAGAGGGTGGGCATTGGAATTTCAGCAAAGTGGTGAAAGGAGGAGACAAATACGAAAATTCAAGAAGATTTTGCAGTGAAATAATGAAATAAGTGGATCACTAGTGAATTATCGTTTTTCTCGGAATTTTTTTTTTTTATATCCTAGCACCTGAGGGATAGCAAAATTTTTATAAAGATCTTTTCAGTAGAGCAATTGACATCTACACTGAGAAAACAAGAATATGCTGTCAAAGAAGTATTGTTTGAACAAAAAAAATGCAAGTTAAAAATTACCGAGAATAAAAATCTCGTTAAAATTGACATTTTCTGTGTAAAGAGCAATCTCATTTCTATATCATTACGCATTTCGTTATTGAAAAATGTTCGTTTCATGCAAAACAAAGGAGAGTGAATTCTAGCAATCCTGTTAATTGAGAACAAAACATTTCTTGATTAACTTCACTTTATGAGAGATATTTTAATCCTGGAAGGATACCATTTCGTGGGAATAATTGGCCTCTCGAGTCAAATTTTTCGTTGTTGGATGCCAAACAATCATAAGTTGAAGCGAAAAAATTCCAATCTTGGTAATTATTATCTGCCATTTATTTGGAGCAAAGAAGATTCGTCCAAAACACATTTTGATAAAATATTAAAATTTCTTTGGACCATGTTTAGGTTAGCAGTAATAACAAGAATCACAAAAATAACTAGGCAGGTTATTTCTACTTTAAAAACTAACTAAGCTCAAGGCATTGTTCTTCAAGTGCGTGTTATATTCTAAAAGAAATCATTGAGACAAAATTAGCAATGTCATGATTAAATACTTATTATTGAAATCTAAACTATAATTAATTAAAACTTTAAGGCTCGGATGGATTTTTTTTCGAACGTGATCTTGGTTGTTTTTTTAATTTGATAATCTGAAATAATCTCCAATTGCTATTGAGTTTTACATAGCCCTGGAGTCTCCAAAAATTATGATTGTACAATAAAAAAAAAGTTTAAAAAAAGCTGAACATTTTCAATGGGCATTTTGAATAATATTGGGAAATAAACCCAATAAGAAGGAAATTGCATATTAATAATTTGATATATCTAATGGCTGTTAGGTCGTTATTTATCACAGTAGGCAATGGCTGTCAAATCGTTAGTTACCGTGATAAATTATCCATTTACTATTTCCTCTCTATCGGACTTATTTCTTAATCCTTATTAAAAACGCTCTCTGAAAATGTTCAGTTTTTTTTTTACTTTTTTTTATTGTACAATCATAATTTTTAGGGACTCCTGCGTGATGTAAAATCCATTGGTAATTGAGATATATTTTCCATTATCAAGATGGAAAATCAATCGAGGTAATGTTCAAAAGATGATCCACCCGGGGCCTTAATTAGTGATTTTTGTGGTTCCTTTTTTATTGCTGGTGACCTAGACGTGGGCCATAGGAATTTTATTAATAACTTGAAAACAGGTCGAGTACGTTAATTTCATTAGATTTTGATGAAATGTCTGCCTTCATCCCTCTTACGATTACAGATATGGATAGAAAATCCCTGATAAGGTCGTCTCATCCCTTTCTGAGGCTACACTGTTGAATCATCGTATAAATTGTGGACGTCCACGTGAAAAGGGGCCACTTTGTCGATTCCAGTTTCCGAGATATTCACGTTTTTGTGTCAGCAACTCCCATTTGCACTGATGTTAAATTGTTTTTTCCCTTTTCTCCAACGACGTCATTTTTGACTCCATGAAAATAATTTTGAGCTTAAAATGTGGGGAATGTTATCAATATTATCAGAGCATATATAACACCATATGGACAAAGTGATCCCTCTCATGAGGACGTCCACAATTATTGAAAACTCGTAGGTTCACGACGAATGTTAAAAGAGATTTTTTATGTTTTCCATGAGGCCCTGCAAAAAATATTTCTTTGTACATTTCTTTGGACTTCTTCCTTTCGGCGACATTTGCAAAATAATTTACATAGAATTTGTCAAGGGATTTCTTTTTGTCACTTTGGAGCGAGGGTACAGTTTATTTTTGGTACAATTTTTGGAGGTCGCTTCCTGAGATAATCGTTGAGAAAACATGAACAAATGATCGCTCAAGTTCAGTGATGCCAGTGAATCTATGAAGGATTGGGGAGAGAAGACAAGGGTGATTATGGAGCTTGAATGTTTTCAGAACCTCAATAGTCGTCTCCCCTCTTCTTACATAACAAAATCTATTATGTATGTAGGTACGTTAATGTAAATAGTTGTCATTGATGGTTGCTATGTCGTAATTATTGATTCTCATTCATCGTAATGATATTCATCCATGAAATTCTATATATTATTTTGTTTATAAGAGAATATGTTATATGGAGCAAGAAGATTGTGATTTAGATTTAAAAATAATAATCCTAATCTTTTTGTGTAATTACGATGTTTATTTTTAATTATCTAGAAAAAAGTGACGTATATACTTCGTTAATGATATTTACGGGGTGAAGAGCATATTTTTTCAGATAAAATAAAATTTCTATATATATCACACTCTACTTTATTTCCTTTTTTTCCGAAAAAATCTATCCTTTACGTATGAATAAATTTGAAAGAAAAACCTATTGCTTTATCTGAGAAATTCTACTTCTAAGGAATTCTTTTTTTTTATTGAAATGGCGTACATGAAATGAAAAAAATTGAAGTGCCCGGGATTTGACTCGGGTGGGTATCGAAGTTCACGATGAGTGAAATTGCGGAATGTGTTAATAATGGTTGATAAAACCTAGTTTGAATATTGGGATTCTATGAGAATTCTCTGAAGAAATGATATTCATTATCTACTTCAATTCTATTGAAGATCATGCACCCCTGAAGTGCGTTAAAAATTTCATTTTTGGTACAGAAAACTCAATAAAAGTTGATTTTCCTACACAGCTCATTCTATTGTTTCGTTTTCTTAAAAAATTATTGGGTATGAATTTTCTGTTCCTTTTGCTTAAATTTCATTATAAGGAATAAATTAAACAAGCAGTTGGCCGAGCCTATTCGACAGGAGACATTTGACCATTACTTTTTTCGTTACTTGTCTTCTTTCTTTTTATTTCTACCAATTCCATTGGTAGTATACTTCCGAACGGATCCGTAGCAATCACATCAAAAATGGAGATCATCAGATCACTATGAATGAAGCAACTTGGAAGTATGTAATGTTTGATAATTTTTTTTCTCATCAGATCGGGAACAGACACAAAATTTCGAATTATTTCACTATTAGATTTTCTCTTATCTACAATTTTTTTCATTTCCAAAATTTCACAACAAAATTTTTCTGATCAATCTTTTAATTCATCATGATAGTTATTTATTTAAACAAGCAGCAGAAGAAAAGAGTAAAAGATTGAAGAAAGCAGCAGAGCAAAAGAGAAAATGGGAACTGGAAAACACGGAGAGAATGAAGAGAGAAAATGACGAGAAAAAACAAACGCCAGAATAGATGATAGTAAATAGTAAAATCATGATTGCGCTGTATATCTCTACAAATTGATATCTCACCTATCCTGACAAAATTACCTGTGGAAGAACACATGATGATACTAACGGAAGGAACGAAACTCGAACCCATTTTCAATACGAACTTTCATTGTCACGAGAGGAAACGTCTGGCCAAATTTCAAGTTAATAATAATGATATTTCAATTTTCACACAGGCTAGAGCGCGCATACGTTTTGATTGATTTAGATAGAGGACACTGGGACGAGTATTTTAAAATCAGACAAATTGAAATCGGTTGCGCAGTTTTTGAGATATAGCCCATAATAGGTTTTCAGAAAAAGTTGAATATCTCCGAAACTGCTGGACCGATTGAGTCCATCTTCAATTCCAGTCTTCCCTATTACAAGGGGAAGATTCTGTCCAAATTTCAAGTTGATATTCCATTTTTTGCGAAGGCTAGAGTGCGTACAAGGTTTTTCATGAAAAAACAGAAAATCGGGAATATCTCGAAAACTTAGTATGGGCGGCTATGTATGTTTTGGATGATCTAGATAGAGGACATTGAGACGAGTATTTTGAAAAAAGACAAATTGAAATTGGTCCACTAGTTTTGGAGAGATTCGCGAAAAACGATTCACAAGCAAATTACTTTTTCTCAAAAACGGTTGGACCGATCGAGCTGAAATCGTGCACAGAGTTAGTCCTTAGGAAGACCTATAATCGTGCAAAATTTCAGATTTTTTGGAATTATTTTACCCCACTATTCTTTCAGTTTTCAAAAAGGACATCTGGCCCTGGAGGTGTTCACATACAGACATGGTGCCCAAACTTCGTATTTTTACGTTTCAGACCATTCTACATCGTTTTCAATCAAAATTAGAGAATGTAAAAATCGGTCGATTGCAATGCTTCCCATTCGGAAGCAAAAAGTGGAAAATTTTGAAAAATTTATCTTTCATTTCTATTAAAAAATATATATTTATTTATTTTTTTATCACATACCTTTCAAAAAATCACACGGTAAGTTGTACGATTTTGAATAGACTGACTCAAAAAACCAATAGCATCAGCTTTCGATAGGACTCCGATAGAAAGTTAATAGAACTTCTTAGATGAATTCTATTAAACTTCTTCTTCTTTTACCGTAAAAAACTCCAACTTCCTCAGCCATTAACGGTCATAACAGCAATTTTAATTAGACTTAAAAACAGATGTTTTCAGGTGTCTGTTTACTGTTGTGGCTTTTCAAGTTTTTGAGATTTCTTTGGTTCCAGATATTTTTGTCACAACCTTTGAAGAACTGATGGGTTGATAAATAGGCATGATTTATAATTTTATTAAGATTCGTACTGCAATAGAATTTGAAATAGAATTGGTGTTTGGTATTTGATGGGAAAATATTTTTTGTTTTTGTATTTAGAGAATAAATGATTGCCCTGATGAAGAGCACTTTGTGTGTTCGAAACGTTGGAAAATAGTGGAAGAATTGTTTTTTTCTCTCACGATTCTTTCCTCTCTTAATTCTAATTACAATTGCTGTTATGACCGTTAATGGCTGAGGAATTTTGAGTTTTTTAAAGATGAATGGAAACGGTTGAAATAATTTCGATCGTATTTTACCTGTTAAAATTAAATAAAGAAATGGAAATCCTCCAAAAATTTGTGATCTGAATAGTCAAGAAAAATAATTTTGAAAAAATCTGGAGCCAAGAAGAAAGGTCTTTATATTCTCCTTCAACAAAAATGCAAACTTTTCTCTCTCCACACAAAAAATAGTAAGAAAAAAGTTGGAGATGAGAAAGTAAAAGAAACCATATTGCCTTCAACGCGGAAAA